TTTTATTAGTTCAAATTAGGAACAAGCTTGTTTCACATGTCAATCCCATCTCCCTCTCCCTTCCCTCACCCACACCTCTCCTACCCCACCCCGACCTACCCCCCCACCCTATCCACCCTCCACTCCCTAGGCAGGGTAGGGCCCTCAACGGGGGCTCTGAAAAGTCCACCACATCATCCTGGGCTGGGCCTAGGCCCTTCCCCATGTGTCCAGGGCAAGAGTGCATCCCTTCACGTGGGATGGGCTCTCAAAGTCCCTTCTTACACCAGGGAAAAATACTAATCCACCACCAGGGGCCCCCTAGAGTGCAGAGGCCTCTTCATTGACATCCATGTTCAGGAGTCAGGATCAGTCCTGTACTGGCCTCCCAGACAGCATCTGGGGTCAATGTGTTCCCCCTTGTTCAGACCAGCTGTTTCTGTATATCACACAAACTTAAACTCTTAGAATAATGTGCTTCACAGTCCTCATTCTAACATGTTGACTGTACAAACATTCTTGTCATTTTAGTCTTTTGTATTGTCATTTCGATTACTAAGTTATGATTGGTTTATCATAATTATATAAAGTTTAATTTTTGTTGTTACTGCAGAGTATTTAGAATATTTTCATTTTCAGCTGAGATAAATTATAATATTTATGTCCCCTTTGAAGATAGATAGATAGTAATGTTGGCTTTCAAAGAAAATTTTTATTTAACTTTCAAAGAACTCCCTATTCCAATAACAACATTCTGCACATATTGTTTTAATTAATCTTCCTTTATTTCTTGAGAATATTAAAGAAAATTTCAAATTTCTTAAAATCTACTACTGCTTACTACTAAATACTTCAGGACTGACTTTTTAATGCATAAGGACATTTCTCTAAGGAAATCTCTGTAACTGCCATCTAAAATCCAAGTCTAAATTGACATGATAATAATGGATCATTTCTCTCATTTGTGCAAATTAGGGTCCAAGTGAGGCTCACGCATTGCATACAGTTGGTTGTTATATGATTAACATGTATCATTCTGAAGGGTAAATTAAACACACACAGTCTCCCTATGTACCAGGCCTTCATCTTGTGAACCTCTTGTCTCATCTCTGGGATGCTGAGATTACAGGTGTTTGCCAGCCCCATTTACAAACATTTTAATACCATCAGCTTGTTAGACAGAAAGTGGTCCTATATAGTATCCCAGCATCTTCACATTGATGGTCTCCTCAAGGTGCTCTTTTAACTTTCCTATCCACTGTATTTGTTTCCTTGATAGTTAAGTATAATGAATTTAATATTAATGTGGTTCAATTTTTAAGAAAGAATACTAGGTAAATGTATTTTCAAATTGGGGCCAAATTTAACATTCTTCTCAGCACATTTTAACAAATCATATGCTTTTCTTTTTACCCCCCCTAAAATCAGAGGTCTGGTTACAAGCACCCCCAGAAGTAAGTATTAATGTTGAGGAGCCTGAGACTGTGTTAAAAGGAATATGAGTGGACATGACTGATTGCACAAGATTCAGAGAGAGAGGACAGCTGTGAAGTGTAACAAATAGTTTTTTCGCCGCAGCCACCTGAGCTCCGCCTCCACGTGGGCTCTTTCTACCAGGCCGCCCAATTTCTGCCTGCTGCCACGTTAAGGTCCCAAGGAATACACAGAGACTTATATTAGGTACAAATGCTGCTTGGCCAATCGACTAGGATTTCTTATATGCTAGCTCAGTCTTAATTATCATAAATCTATATATTTTATAAGATGTTTTCCGCTGGCTCCCTCTCTTGCTGGCAGATCATATGGTGACTCCAGAGCAGAGACCAGGAGGAAGAGGGAAGGGAACCACTTCCTTCTTGCCCTTGCTTATATATGAGTCTCCCTGCTGTGTCACTTCCTGCCTGGATCTCTCCTACATTTCCCAGAATCCTCCTTGACTCCTAGTTCCACCTAACTTGCTGCCTCATTGGCCAAACAGTACTTCATTTATCATCCAATAAGACAAACACATACACAGAAGCACTTCCCCCATCAGTGAAGTGCTTTATTTAACAGGATGGCTTTTCATTGGGAACCAAATTCAAATACCTGAATTTTTTTCTTTCATCTTTTGGGACAGGCTGTGAACTGGAAAAGTGGAATTTAACTGTAAATGTATTGTTTCCTTATTCTTTAGCTTATAGTTGCTCATTTGCTGAATTTATTACCATTGTGTGGTGTAGAAAACACCACTAGAAGTTTAGTTGCAGAAGCCGAGAGTCTGAAAATGGAGAAGAGTTAATATTAAACTTCCTAATCCAATATCTTGGCTTACAATTGTTTTTTGTGCCTAAATATTTGCCCAGTTTAAGTCTGATTGTTGATTCTTTATTTCTCTTAAGAAATGGCTTTGGTATATTTTTACTATTACTGAGAATGAGGTTTCTCTCTCTATTTTCTGCCTCCAGATGGCTCTTTAGACCTAAGAAGCAGTTCTCTTTCCTTTAAAATATCTGCAAGTATTTGAATTGATACTGGTAAGTTACATCTTTTCTCAGTATTCCTTCATTGATCTTATGGTACTTGTTGTTGCTTTGATAATCCTCTGGTATTTTTGCCATGAGTGTAAATGGTGTGTGTGCCAGGAGTAATGTGAGTTCAGAGGTTATGTGTGTGTGCATTGTTGGTGTACTGTTGCAGCTGGGAGAAGAGAAGAGCATTGTGGATGTTTCCTTCCTTCCTTCCTTCCTTCCTTCCTTCCTTCCTTCCTTCCTTCCTTCCTTCCTTCCTTCCTTCCTTCCCTTTCTTTTTCTTTCTTTCTTTCTTTCTTTCTCTCTTTCTTTTTCTTTTCTTTCTCTCTCTCTCTCTCTCTCTCTCTCTCTCTCTCTCTTTCTTTCTTTCTCTCCCCCTCCCTCGTTTCCTCTCCCCTCCCTCCCTCTCTTTCACCCTCTCCCCACTTTCTTCACTTGGAACAATAAGGAGGAAAGTGAAATTGAAGAAGGATGTTGCTGAAGGCTTGAGTTGATACAGAAAACTACAGTGGTTTTAAAGATCCCAGTAAACATTCTCATTCTGTATTTCTTAAGGGTAAAAAAGCCTAAGTTGAAACATACTGTTTTATTAGACTGCCAGACTCCTTTGTGTTTTTATTTTGTTCTTGGTGGAACTGAAACTTCTGAGTTACTTTTTGTTTGTTTGTTTTCTAAATCAAATGGACACATAGTTGCTAATCTGTTTCAGTTTTCCCCCAACCTCTCTTTTTTCTAAGTTCAGTAATTTTTATAGGAATAATAAACATTTAATATAGGAATGATTATGCTAATTTTCATATGTGTTTCTGATCTTTCTATCATTAACTGTAATTTCCTTTTAATAATGAATCTTTTGTTTGTTTGTTTTGCCTTTTGTGTTTTTGAGACAGGGTTTCTCTGTGTAACAGCCCTGGATGTTCTGGAACTCATTTTGTAGACTAGGTTGATCTCAAACTCACAGAGATCCACCTGCCTCTGCCTCCCAAGTGCTGGGATTAAAGCCTTGTACCACCACTGCCCAGCATTTGTAATGAATCTTAGTTCAATATTGTCACAATATTATATTTGGGTAAATGCTAAAAAGTCATCATGTTAAGGCCTTAGATATCATGGGAAAGTATGAATGGTTTTGCTTTCCATTCTAAAATACACAAAGAGGACTTGCATTGTGTGCCTTTTCTCTGAGTGCGCTCTCTGTCTGTCTGTCTGTCTGTCTGTCTGTCTGTCTGTTTGTCTCTCTCATAATAAGTACAGAAATTAATCAAATATAAGTGAATACATTTAGTAGTTCTTTCTAAGATCAACCATGAACTCTATGATTCTCAGACCCAGTATAAGGACACTATATAGTAACTCCTAAAACTGTGAATCTCTCTGACTTAGCATGGGCACAGTCCTTAGAAGAAAGAATCTCTCCCACTGTTCTATTTGCTTATTAAGATTTTGTTTTCAGTATCTTTCTTATGTAGACTTCTCTGCTTGTTTGAGATAAGACTTTCTATGTAGCCTATGCTAGCCTGGAATTTTACCTAGGATGACCTTGAACTCATGCCCTCCTGCCTCTTCTTCCCAAATGGAATTACAGGTTCAATTATACCTGCTTCATGTACTGGGTTCTTATCTTTGTGTGAAGTTCTACCTCTAAGAAGAACTTTTATGTGGTTCATGGACACAATCTTCTCTTGGTTTTGTGGTATCAAAGTACTCTTTCTTTAGTAGTCTTTTCCTGTGAATGTATGCCATTTGTAAGCTGTGGGCTCCTAAGCAGTGGAGAGTTTGTATTCACTTCTTCCTATTGCACAACAGCTCTGGTTTTTAAGCAAATAAGAGAGTAGATTTCTCTCTGTTTGGGTGAAGTTAATACATAAAGCCTTGACTATCAGACATGAATCATAATACTGCTTAGACTAATATATTATTTGAGTATATCAAATGCAACATCGATTAATCTTAATCATTTCTATTCTTTTAAAATATCAACAGTTAAAAATTGCATATCTTATTATTAAAAATGGCTTGAGCTGAGATGTAATCTCCCAAATGAAGGGATAAAAATAAGAACAGGATGAGACAGAGAACCATTTTTCTTCCGAAAAACTTCAAATAAATTGAGATAAAAAAATTACACGTTGTTAAATAAATCAGAGGTCTTATGACATCTCTAATACTTTATAAGACATGTTTGACTTGACTTATGTATTTAAAATAACTAGCAAGGTATTCTTTAAATGCTAAAACATAAATCACAAATGGAAAGCTTTGATTTATGTTAATGGCAGATAACGTGTGGGATGTGGCAAGTGAGCGCTGACTTTTGCAGTCTTCCCCAGGTGGGGTGACAGAGCTACAGAGCACAGGAGAAAATGCTGCCTTAGGCTCCATTTGTTGACTCATAGGTGCAGGCTGTCTCCTAGGACGTGATGGAATTTTGCTAAGAACTTTCACTTCTGTTTCAGATAACCGGACTGTAGTGAAAGCTGCTGGGCAGGTCTCAGCAACTCCATGTCACCGTGGCAGACCAAATGTGTGCAGAAGTCTGCAAGGAGCATGGAGAACTTGGAACAGATTATCTTCTTAGGTAAATCTTGGGCCTCTGATATTTTCCAATAATGTGTAGGTCACATGGCCATCAAGGCAACACTGCCGTTCATTTTCATATTCCAGCCTGAGGACCAGCCTTTTGTTCGATTTGTGTTCTGTAGTAGCCATCATCCTGATTGTTTTACATGGCTGTTTGTCCTTTTGCCCTCCAACTCTCACCTTAAATATAACTGCCCCAGAAAGCCATTTCTGGATCTCCCTGCCTACAGAGACCCCCCTCCTCTTTACACATTGTCCTGTTTATTTCCCAACACTTTAAAAACATTTTTTTCTTAGTGCTTTCACATCTTATTGCTTGCCTCCACCACAGATTTCATGTTATCAACAACAGTAGTACACTTAATGGCAAACATCAAGCACTCTAGAAAATTATTAGATAAATGAATGAAGACCTATAGGATTGCATTTGAACAAATACCTGGATTTTAAAAAGTATAAGAGGCAGTGCTTTAAATGAACATGACCATAAGCCCAAGAGGTACCTTTACAGATGTCTCACCGCGTTCTCATTCAAATGAGCTCCTTGCGATGACGTTTCAATAGACACTGCACCAAGAACTCACAGCTGTAGCCAAGCCCTTCTCACAGAGGTTCTCAGTTTCTCTCTGTTTGCAGGTGCACACAGGCTGACAATCTACGGACACATACCCTCAAAATAAACCGGGGCTACTTTGTGTCTGCCTGTGCCTGCCCTTCTTCCTTTTCCACTCAGGAAATCACATCAGCAGGTAAGCCAGTGAGTGTGGGTATAAGGCCTTACAGGGACCACCGTAAGTAACACAAACAATAAACCAGCTATAAATATTAGAGACTTTTTGTCTTTAATAATAAATTACTTGATACAGTTAATAAAAACACAGTGTCTATGTTGATGCAGTGTCACATGATTTTTTTGAGTTTATGTTTAAGCAGTTGGTCTTGAACTTCTGGGCAGCATTTTATTGTTTATATAACTTTTATGGAGGAAAACAGTGCATGGAGTTGAGAGTCTAAGTGGGAGACGAATGCTTGGAAAGAACAGCAGTAAAGCCTTTACTGATGCCTGTTAGGTATTGTTTCAGAATGATTAGCATAATGAGTATTAATATTTAAAGTGAACCATTTATATGCAAATGTCAGACATCTTTCACTTGTAATTTCATTGTAAGTGAAAACTAGTTAATTTGTTAATATTTTCTACCATTCATCTAAAATATACATTCATCTAAATTATACTTGGAAGTAATTTCCAAACTCTTGACAGAAGGAGGAAAGTAACATTACAATGACCTTTGTGTCTCTTTTAGTATTTTTCTTCTAAAGACAAGACATCAGTTAATTAGCCTGTCACCATACTTGCACAGCCTTTGTCTCCACCAGCATGTGTTATCTGGAGGACAATGATATACTCCAGGAAGCTCTGGGCCACAGAGGTTACTCTAGGTGGAAAAACAAGATGTGTATAGGAAATAAAGATTCCTGTATATGCTATGTTGTTTCAGTTCATACTGTATCTATATGCCATATAGATACAGATACATGTTTATTTCCAGAAGAACTATATTGCTAGTAAGCCATGAGTTCCCATATACCTTTCATTCAGTTTTCCTTAATGTTACTATCATATGTAGCCATATGCATTTACTAAACTAAGGTATTGCCATCGGTATATTATTAAGTAATCTATACTTCTTTTTCAGATTCAATGAGCATTTCAAGAAATGGGTATCTTTTTTTCTGTTTTGGCACCTAATATATTTAGCATATATGTATTTAATGAGGTATAAAATATACAAGGAAGATGCAAAGAATTTTATGAATACTCAGGCATCAATACTGTTAGAATTTAGTGTATTCTCTCCCTAGTGCACATACATTAACAAATACCACACACAATTTTAGGTCAGGCTTGACACTTATTTTTAAATATTTTCGTATGTGTGTGACAAGATCTAACTATGTACCCTAGGCTGGCCTAGAACTTGGTTTCTCTTACTTCAGCCTCACAAGTGCTGGAATTATAAGAGTGTGCTATTACACCTAGTCACCCACCTATTTTTGAATTCTCTTCTCTCACCATGTGGATTCCAGGAGTAGACTTAGGCCATCAAATATGGTGGCAAATATACCCATTGAGCCATCTCACCTATTATTTTAATCATTTAGCAAATCACAAATATCACCCTCTGTAGTTTTAGTTTAAGATACCTTTATATTTTCAGTTTTTTAAAAAGTGGATACTCTTTTGGTTAACATTACTCATTCATTGTTCATTTCATTTTTTTCTTGCAAATGATTACATGGTGATTTTTAGTACACATGAACTTTGGATAATATCCATATTTTTACAGATCAAAAAAGAAGAATATATCATATGAGAGAATCTAGGGACTCCTCTATTTGTCTTATTTTAAACCCAAGACTAATATATTTAAACTAAACTGAAACCTGTAAAATTGAAAATGAACTTCTCTGCTCTGGTAGACCTGTTTCCCTGAGGGAAGGATTGCCCTGGGAGTTCTGTAGGCTGAGCCAGCTTGTCAGAGATTGTTAGCATACAGCTAAGTTCAAGTGCAGCGGCAAGCCCAAGCTTTACAGAGGTGGTCTAAGTGAGCTCTCGGAAGAGTGTCACAGCTGATGTGTTTTGATGTGTGACTAGGGGTGGCATTGCTTGGGCATTTCCTAGGGTTGGCCAGTTTTACTTGTAGGGTTTTTGCAATTTCTTGGTCAACAAATTACTACTGACTATTTTTACTAGGTAAGAGACATCAGCACCAGAAAAACAGGACCCTGATTGTCCTAAACTTTCAGAGCAGATAGTTCACCTGCTCCTAGGGCACAGGTCCTGTAGTGTCAAGACCTCTTGAGCTGTAGTCAGAGGACATTCTTGTAACACATGAAGCAGAATCAAGGCAAGGAATCAGGATGCCTTCCCCCCACCCCCAGCCATAGGCCATAGCTGCTGGACATTGTGAGTTCACTCTTGGAATAAAGGCATGCCCCTACCTGGACTACAATGTGCAGAGTGGGGCAAGCATGGCATCTGAAGCAGGCTTTACAAATCTGGAATCCAGTACCAACTAGACACGCTTTGACATTAAGTAACTGAGGCTCCTTGGTCGGAGCTTTCTCAACATCAATGTAAGACTGCTACAGAGGTTAATTTGAATGATTTGTGAAAATGTCTGTTATTGGTACTGGCATACGGTGTACAATTGGATGAAAGTTTATTCAGTGAAGGCATGGATTAATGTGCTTCCTAGCTGTTTGGACACCTTATGTTTTAAACAGTTGTGTGGCTATTTGTAATAGGAAATACAATAGACATCAAAGAAATGAATTAAACATCCATTTAATTCTCTCGCAGGGTTGCAGACAACATACACTGACTCTGGCTAGAACTTATTGGATGAACAGTCAGATCCTGAAATTTAGGAGTTGAAGCAGCAAGCAGTTTGATGATACAAGCCGTGGTGGACCTCTGGGGCCTCAGAAGCAGATGGTTATGGATCTTCCTCTGGAATGTTGATGGCTTTATTTCTCATCTTTAGTGACCTGTCATTGGTTGCCAGGAAGACAGGGCCGTGTCCCAAACATGGACACTGCTGTCACTTCGCTGATTCAGGAATACTCTGCAGGGCAAAGGGAATGTTGGGAGACTAATGCATTTTAAAGGGTTTCTTTTTTTTGTATATTTTATTTGAAATGTTTTGTTTGGTACTATGGAAAAAATAATTTTAGAGACAACAAATGTTATCAATGTAGGTAACAGTTTACCATAAAAGAGAGACATAGGAAATATTTATGTGCTGGGCTGGAGGCGTAGCTCAGTGGTAGAATGCATGAGACCCTGGGTTCAATCCCAAGAAAACCTCCTCCCCCTTAAAAAATGCAGAAAATAGTTACAGGATGAAATTTCAGAACACCACTGAAAGTTTTTAAAGGTTTTGTTGAGGCACAGTTGACATATAACAAAGTTCACATATTTGAAATCATGGTTTGGTATATTTTGGTACTGATGATGCACATCTGGAAAACTGCCACTATGATGAAGACAATGACTGTCTTCCACCCCTGGATATCTCCTTGTGCCTTTGTGTTCCTTCCCTCAGCCCCTGCCATCCCTAAGCACCCACTGCCTATGTCCCTTAGATTGACTCAATTTTTCTAGTGTGTCATATAAATGGAATCATACAGTGCATGTCTTCTTTTTGACTCAGTATGACTACTGTGAGACTCATCCATGTTACAGTAGACAGCAGTGCTTTGTTTCTTTATATGAGTGACTAATGCTGAATAGATTATACAGCTTGTTTATTTATTAGTTAGCAAGCATTTTACTTATTTCTGTCTGGGGATATTATCAATAAAAATGTTATAACAATTTGTGTACAGGTGATTTTTAGATATGTTTTCATTTCTGTTGGATAAACTAGAAGTAGAATCAGTAATTGCCAAGTATCAAGTAGTTGTACCATTTTATATTCCTACCACAAATATCTTGTAGCCACACTTGTTCTATATCTGCACAAACACATAGTGCATGTCTAGTATTTACTTTGAAAATAATACTTTAGAAAGGGAAACAAGCCAAATAAAAAATTAATTAAAAAATTTAAACGTATCAAAGAAGATATATAAATAATGACAAGCATATTCAATATATTTAGCTACCAGAGAAATGAACAATTAAAACTACAATAGATGGGGAATGTACTGTGTATGTTTATCTTATTGATTGTTAAATAAAATACTGTTTGGCCAATGAGACAGCAAGTAGACGGGACTAGGAGTCAAAGAAGATTCTGGGAAATGTAGTAGAGAAATGCTGATCCAGGCAGGAAGTGACATAGCAAGGAGACTCATATT